TTCTTTAGTTGGAAACCTGAGAATAAACCAGAGTAGATCAAGAGTAAAAAGTAGACATTTATTGGTCACAGTTAAGTGTATCAACTGGGCTCTGACAGACAAAAACCTCTCTCTGGGTCTCAGTGGGAAAAGAGCCCTGAGATCTATAACCAAGTCCTATTGGCTAGTTACCTCTGACGTTCAATTAACTTTTATTTCTACAGCTCCAAATCCCAACAACAGTTCTCTCCCAGCTTTCCAAACAGAGCAGCTCAGACTCTGAGTTATATACAGAACAACAACAGTTCCCACCAAGAGCAGCACTAGGAGACACAGGGAGGGAACAACTTCGTGAGATAAGCCGGCCAGGTCCTAATTCATGCAGATGACAGGAATGTGCTAACAAATGGTGTGTGTGTGTGTGTGTGTTGACCTAAAGGTGGATCTAATGCAACAGAGAGAGAAAAAGAGAGAAAAAGAGAGAAAAGAGAGTCTGTGGACACAGCCAGAGACCCTAACCCTAAACCTAACCATGACACGAAACATAAAATATAGCTCTATAAGGAAATAAAACAATCAGAAATTAGCATAGATCATGTGATAGCATACGATGCTAAAGTGGGTGATTATAGCCAGATTCTAACCCTAACCCCCACCCTTAGAGCCCTGCGTTTTCTGTTCCAGGTGTTCCACAACTGACCCTAACCCTAACCCTAAGCCTGACCCTAACCCTGACACAAAACACAAAATCTAGTTCTATAAGGAAATAAAACAATCAGTAATTAGCATAGATCATGCTAATTACTGGCCCACAACTGACCCAATCAGGCCCAATCAGTAATTAGCAACGATCATGCTAATTACTGATGGCATACGATGCTAAAGTGAGTCATTATAGCCAGATTCTAACCCTAACCCCCACCCTTAGACCCCTCTTTTTTCTGTTTCCAGGTGTTCCATAACTGCAGCTGTGTGGGGAACTCGTTCCCTGCCGGGGGGGGCTCTGTGCGGCTGGAGCAGTGCCCCCCCCCCCGGGGATGCAGCCGCAGTTTTACCTCCTACATGGCCGTGTCCGTGCTCAGCTCCTTCATCAACTCGCTGGGGGCCACGCCCGGATACATGGTCATCATACGGTACGTAACGCGCCATGGTCATCATACGGTATGTGAAGCCTAACGCTAACCAGGTCCAGGCCTGACCCCGAGATTAGAGGGGGGAGTGGTACCCCGAATATTTAGCTAGAGTAGATAAACAAGAGTAGATTTAGAGTACTGACCCCGAGATTAGAGGAGGAGTGGAACCCCGAATATGTAGCTGGAGGCCTGAGAATAAACTAGATCCAGAGTACGAATACCCCGAATCTTTAGCTAGAGTAGATAAACAAGAGTAGATCTGGCATAGATTGGTCAAAGGTAGAAGGTAGGAGTCCCAGAGGGAACCAGGACCAGAGGGTTCTGGGTTGGAGTCCCAGGGGAACCAGAACCAGAGGGTTCTGGGTTGGAGTCCCAAGGGAACCAGAACCAGGCCTGACCCCGAGATTAGAGGGGGAGTGGTACCCCGAATATTTAGCTAGAGTAGATAAACAAGAGTAATCTGTAGCTGGAGGCCTGAGAATAAAGTAGATCCAGAGTACGAATACCCCGAATATGTAGCTAGAGTAGATAAACAAGAGTAGATCTAGAGATACATGGTCATCATACGGTACGTGAAGCCTAACCCTAACCAGGTCCAGGCCTGACCCCGAGATTAGAGGGGGAAGGGGTACCCCGAATATTTAACTGGAGGCCTGAGAATAAAATAGATTCAGAGTATGAATACCCCGAATCTGTAGCTAGAGTAGATAAACAAGAGTAGATCTAGAGTACTGACCCCAAGATTAGAGGGGGGAGTGGAACCCCGAGTATTTAGCTAGAGTAGATAAACAAGAGTAGATCTAGAGATACATAGTCATCATACGGTACGTAACCCTGAGATTAGAGGGGGAGTGGTACCCCAATATTTAGCTAGAGTAGATAAACAAGAGTAATCTGTAGCTGGAGGCCTGAGAATAAAGTAGATCCAGAGTAGGAATATGGCGTTGATTGGTCAAAGGTAGAAGGTTTGAGTCCCGGGGGAACCAGGACCAGAGGGTTCTGGGTTATAGTCCCGGGGCCTGACCCCGAGATTAGAGGGGGAGTGGTACCCCGAGTATTTAGCGAGAGTAGATAAACAAGAGTAGATCTAGAGATACATGGTCATCATACGGTACGTTACGCCCCACGGGGAACCAGGTCCAGGCCTGACCCCGAGATTAGAGGGGGAAGGGGTACCCCGAATATTTAACTGGAGGCCTGAGAATAAAATAGATCCAGAGTATGAATACCCCGAATCTGTAGCTAGAGTAGATAAACAAGAGTAGATCTAGAGTACGAATGGTACCCCGAATATGTAGCTGGAGGCCTGATATCAGAATCAGAATCAGAAATAGTAAAGTAGATCCAGAGTACGAATATGACATTGATTGGTCAAAGGTAGAAGGTTGGAGTCCAGGGAGAACCAGGACCAGAGGGTTCTGGATTGGAGTCCCGGGGGAACCTGGCCCAGGCCTGACCCCGAGATTAGAGGGGAAGGGGTACCCCGAATATTTAGTTAGAGTAGATAAACAAGAGTAGATCTAGAGCAGTGTTTTTAAACCTTTTTTGAGCCAAGGTACAGTTTTTCATTGAGATCCAGAATACGAATATGACATTGATTGGTCAAAGGTAGAAGGTTGGAGTCCAGGGAGAACCAGGACCAGAGGGTTCTGGGTTGGAGTCCCAAGGGAACGAGAACCAGGCCTGACCCCGAGATTAGAGGGGGAGTGGTACCCCAAATATGTAACTGGAGTAGATAAACAAGAGTAGATCTAGAGTACTGACCCTGAGATTAGAGGGGGAGTGGTACCCCGAATATTTAGCTGGAGTAGATAAACAAGAGTAATCTGTAGCTGGAGGCCTGAGAATAAAGTAGATCCAGAGTACGAATATGACATTGATTGGTCAAAGGTAGAAGGTTCTGGGTTGGAGTCCCAGGGGAACCAGGACCAGAGTCGACTTTATCTTAGTTGTCTTAATTTCCCTCTCTTACTTGGTTTTGTTTTTTCTTTTGCTCTTACTGTTTTTTTTTTATCTTTGAGTTTGTCTTGTGTTGTGATGATAATTGTGTTTTATGATCTGCTCAAATAGCCTGTACAGCGCTTTGATTTTAGCTTTGGCTGACTGAAAGTGCTTTATAAATAAAGTTGAGTTGAGTTGAGAGGGTTCTGGGTTGGAGTCCCCGGGGGAACCAGGACCAGAGGGTTCTGGGTTATTATATATATTATATTATTTATTTTATCTCTATTTCAGGTGCATCTCCCCTGATCTGAAGTCTCTGGCTCTGGGTATCCAGGCCTTGGCCACCAGGACTCTGGGTGAGTTTTATGTTTATGACTCTTCTTTTTCACAGTGATTTAGAATCTGAATTCTGCTTTTCGGATGATGGTCCAGAGGAGAAAATCCATTTAGGCTGATTTAATATTTGAGAATTTTCTCCATTTGAGTCTAAAAAGTGTTGACATGAACAAAATTTTACATTTATTTCCATCTCTTTTGCTTAATCGATTTTTGTTATTTCTATTTATATGTTTATTTAACACAAATGTCATCTAATTGTATCATTTAACATTCAACCCATTCGTTTAAAACGGTCAATTTAAATTCCATTCTTAATTTCATTATTTCTTATTTAGTTTGTCTTTGTCTTTACTTTCATCCACTAATTGTAGTTTTATTTTTGTTTCATTAATCGTAATAACTTATTTAATTGTTTTATTTTTAATTTACATCAAATTTGACTTGGACTCCATTTAATTTAGTTTAATTTAATTTGATTTTTTTTTTTTTTTTTATTGTTATTGTTTTTAATCAGCTTTGTTTTATTTTATTTCACTGAGTTTTATTTTCACGTAACTAAATTAATATTTCTTGCCCATTTTTAACTCTTTAGTAGAGTTTAAGTGGCTCTGAGGCTCAGACAACCTTTAGTGGAGTCATTATACGTTTATTTTAAGTATCTTTGATCCTTAAGGTTGTTATTTTGGGGGAGTTTTAAGCGGTGTCCCATCCTCCTCCTCATTCTCAGAAGGTTTCCTGGTGATTTCTTCTTTGCTGGTTTTGTGTATAAAGTGATTTCCGGGCTCCGGCTGACTGATGCTTGGTGTGCAGGTGGGATTCCTGCGCCGGTTTATTTCGGAGCCCTGATCGACTCGACCTGTTTGAAATGGTCTGTTAAGAAGTGCGGGGGCCGGGGGGCGTGCCGCATCTACGACTCCGACATGTACAGGTACATTTCATCCAAACGACCCACAAAAAGAGGCTTTAACCATAAACTACAACACAGAAGAGAAGAGTCTAGATTAGCCCTGTTAGCTACAGAAACCAAATAATAACATAATAATAACAAAAGACCCCAAAATAACAGAAAAGATACACAAATAACAAAAAAGAGACATTAAATAACAGAAAAGATACACAAATAACAAAAAAAGAGACATCAAATAAAAGAAAAGACACACAAATGACACAAAAAGAGAAATTACATAACCGAAAAGACACACAAATAACAAAAAAGAGACATTAAATAATAG